CATAACTAACTAAATTGTTTTAGTATTTGTTGGCCTTCATTAACTCTGTTAAGCGCTGTTCACACGCAAACACAAATAAACAATTTTGTGTATGTATGTGGGTTTGTATGCGTATAGGTACTCGTATGTGTTGCTATTTTTGTTTTCGTTGTTAAGTTGTAACGGCTGTTCGAAAATTTCAGTACAAAAGTTGTCGGGTGAGTGCAAACGCAGCATAAGTTCTGTTCATTGCCCTTCTATAGCATTATGTCAAATTAAATATTGCACAAAATTGAATATTAAACTGAACTGGTTCATATTCTTAAGTCGAAGAACTTCAATTTCTCTCTAATATGCATACTAAAGTAAAATTGAAATTTTCTTGTTTTATATAAATTATATGAAATTAAATTTAATATATTATCCGGTGAATATATTAACCAATTTTGAATTTTTGGAGAAAATTTCTCAAAATAATTGAAGTCAGGAAGTATCAAGAGATTATATCTACTTCAAATATCAAAAAATTGAGTAATATGCGCAAAATCTTCCTCACTTTCACTCCATTTAAGTATATGGTTTTACTACAAGCTTTCACTTTATTTAGGAGGCTTTAATATATGTTACCTGGTCTACGGAAAGGGTCGAAAGATGGAAGATGAGATGCTTTTTATTTTAACAGCTGTTTCCCAGAAAACTAGTTTTCGCACGTTAGCTCCCTTTTCGTAGACCAGGTCATATTATGACGTTTGAAAGCCCTATTTGAAGTTGTCGAAAATTTTCGTATACATAAGCTTTCATTTCACCTAAGCTTTCACATCACCAAAGCTTTGAATTCACCCAAGCTTTCATCTTGTCATGTTGTTTAAAGAATTCGCTTTACATAAGCTTTTTTTTTAACCAGCACCTTTGCATAAGCTTTCATTTTTCCACATCTTTCACATCGTTTCTAACACTTATTAACATTAGCTTCATTTCACTTTCAAGTTCCATGTTTTAAGTTTTTCTTGGTTCAAAGTTTAAACTTTGATCTAAGCTTTTACTTTTATAGTGTTTTCGTCAGCAGTTTATCCATAATTTTTTTTCAACTGTTGAAAGCTTCAGGTTTAATGTTTAAAATTTTCGCTTTTGTTTGAGCTTTTACGTTTTTTCAGCTTTTTAAGCTTTAAGCTTTTATTTTGTATAAAATTTTCTATATGAGAGGTTTTACTATCTTCTTCGCTTTCACTTAAAGTTTTAACATAATTTAAGCATTTTTTTTTACATTTTAATTCTGAAAAACTTTCACTTTCTTTTAAGCTTTCACTCAAAGCTCTGGCATTATTTAAGGCTTTCACTTTCGTTCAAACTTTCTCTTAAAACGCTGACGTTATTAAGGCTTTCAGTTTTTTTTTTAATTTTATTTCTAAAAAGCTTTCATTTTGTTCTAAGCGTGAACACTGACATTATTTGAAGCTTTCATCTTGATGTGGATTTTAATTGAAGCTTTTATTTTGTTTCAAGTTTTGGTTCTGAAAAGATTTTTTTCCTACTTTCACTTAAAGCTTTGACATTGTTTAAGGCTTTTCATCTAAAGCTTCCGCCTTAGTTCAAGATTCGACTTAGTTTGATTTATGAGCTTGAAGTATATTCATCATTATTTTAGGTTGTTGGACTTGCTAAGTCACATAAAACATGTTCATAGTGGCATAATATTCCTAATCAATATTGGAATTGCCTTTCGGTTAGATTTCAAAAACCCGCTAAATAAAGTTTACAAACTCTCATTGTATTTGCAATGATTTTTTCGCCATTATTCTTATTTTTTTAACAAATTGTGCTGTTACACGCAATAAAATAACCTACACGCATATATATGTATATAACAGTTATATTAGACCATACACTATATATAACAGTTATAACGGACAGACTTAAATGCTGCGTATTTCCGCTTGATAAATATTAAGTTTAGTACAACTTTGAAAGCTCTTACACATACAAATACTCCCAGTTTTCACAACGAATCGGGCCATTTTGAATTACTAGTTGATATATAGACACAATTTAAGGGCTTATTAGATTTATACAAAAATAAAAATAGTGCGGGCACGAGATATACATACATATGTAGGACTTAATTGTGTTGTTTGCTACTTAGTGATAGAAATATCGCTTAAAACTTGACATTTACAGTTATTTTTATACACATAATATTGTTATAATACATAATAGATCTTATAATGCTAGTTAGATAAATGTACAAGTAGATAGTATATATAGATATTCACTTAAACTTAATACATACAAACTTACATAGTAAATTGTATAAATAATTACATAAAAAAATTATTTACTTTCATTTAAAATTAAAAAAAAAAAACACATGTGTTTACTTAACACAAACAAATTTTCGCTTATACTTTGCATTACATCACATTTGGTAAATATTGCAATGGCATTCGCCGTTTTGTGTCCATGTCGCGCAGGCAACGATTATTGATAAAGAACGCAAAATAAGGAAATACACGCAGGCAATCAAGTATATGTGTGGGTGTATGTATATAGGCGAGTTGATGCTGGCTTTTGGCATTTTAAATGCGTGGTACGTGTGCAAAAAGCCTTTCTTATGTATTCGAATATTAGGCTGGTGCTTAAATACGGACATTAAAAAAAATTTTTGAAGATATTTGGGATATTTGCACTTTGACTGCGTTATTTGGATTTTGGTTATTGTGGAATTAATTTTTTTGTTTTTGTATATATATTTATAAATTAGGGTGGTCATTAAATCTGAAAAAAAAATAGCTAAATTCTGTGACTTTTCAAATGTTTTTGAAAAATAATTTTTAAGTCGGATTTCAGAGAATTCTTTTCATTTACCTCTTACACAACATGTATAATTGCAATTGTATAAATTAGGGTGACCCTTAAATGTAGAAAAATAGCTATTTACGTAAATTTCTGTGACGTTTTAAAGCTTATCCTTATTTAACCTCGTTTTACCTTTGTGTGGCATTTTTTAATCCTTACACAACATGACTAATTACAGTTATATAAATTAGGGTAGTCACTTAATATAGAAAAAAAATTAAGTTTGCGTAAATTTCTGTGATTTTTAAAAGCTCACCCCTATGAAACATCATTTAGCACTTATAGAAGGTAAATAAATTTAAACATTAGGGTGGTCCGTATGTGTAGGCAACAGATTTTACGTAAATTTCCGAGATTTGTGAAATTTCACCCTCAAACCGTGAATAATTACAGTTATAGAAATTAGGGTGATCTTTATATGTAGAAAAACCGTTATTTATGTAAGTTTCTGTGATGTTTTTAAATCCAACCGTATAGCCTTTACACAAGATCACTAAATACATTTACAAATTAGGGTGATTCTTAAAAGTAGAATAAAAGATTTTACGCAAATTTCCGTGATTTGTGAAATTTCACCCTTATGTTACATTACTTATTCCTCATACCACATGAATAATTACAGTTATAGAAATCAGGGCGGTCCCTTAAACAAGACAAAATAACAATTTACGTAAATTTCTGTAATTTTTAAGGATCACCCTTACCTGACGTCTTTTAACCAGTATACAAGACGAATAAAAATATAAATATATAGAAAAACATTTTAGGTAAATTCTTGTAATTTTTAAAGCTGACCCTAACGTAACACCGCTTAACTGACACCATACGGTGCTTATATTGAAATTAGTAATACTTGGGTACTGTATTAATGACATTAGTCCAACAAATGACAAAAAGAAAAGATTTTGGGTCTCCTGAAAAAATTTGAACTTTGATATCTTCAAATGTAACAAAAATAACGCCAATATTATTGCTTAAGGATCTGATATTGCAAATTAATCACTAATTTTAAATTTTTTAGTACCACCCTAATATAAATAAATATAAACGCATACACATAAAAGTACTTGCATAAAAATTTGCAAAACAAAAGCACATAATGTGGCTCACATGTTGTTCTCGTAAGTGTTTTACGATCTTTAAATCATTTGGAAATTTTCCGAAATAACTTCGGAGGCAGGCAAAACGGCGAATGACCTCATACGAAATGCGTGCAGTTGCATAAAAAACCGTTATATTTTATTTTGTTCTTGTAATCATGTTGTTGTTGTATATATGTACTTACTTAAAACTGTATGTGTGAGCTTAAACGCTCTTGAAATTATAGCAGCGGCAGCAGCAGCAGCAACAACAATAACACTGTTAGGTACGTTACTTATATGTAATACAACAAATACAAGGGGATAATTTTAATGCGTTATTAATTTGATTATATCTATGTGTGTGTCGTAGTATATGTAATGTAAAACGAAAATCTATATAACAGCAGCAACAAAAACAATACAATAACAACAGCAACAATGGCTTAATATTTAATACATACAAGAGACATCAGCACAAATACATATGTATATTTTTTTTCAATATTTTTTTGTTTTTGTTTAATGGCATACATATTTTGCGTATTTCCTTTTTTATGTGTTTACTACCTTTTTCATTCCTGCTATCAGGCTTATCAGACAAGCTCGACTTTAGCGCGAATTTCACAATTCCGGCATGTGCTCGGCAACGGCAACCAAAGTTGGGCATTTTAGTAATTTGAAAAAAAGTGCGTAAAAAGCTTAATTACATTAGAAACTTAAAGCTTTTTAGTTTGCGTGAAGTTTTACTGCTCCAACTTGTATCTCCATTCTTTACAGAGGCATTTCCCCGAAACAATAAAGCTTTGTAAAACTGGGAGCTTTCATGTTCAAGTGAAGCTTTCATATTTAAGCAAAGCAAACAATGATTCGAAAATGTTCCAAGCATTGCACCACAATTATTTAAAACGCTTACATTTGCACACAGCGCTTTTAGCAGCTTTCACTATTACTCCTGCTGCACTTCAAGTAATGAAAGCTTTTGATTTTTCAACGCAATTGAACGAAATTCACCAATCATTGCTCTACAATCATTTGAAGCGCTTACACTTTCACACAAGAAGTTCGAAAGGCTTTTAGCAGCTTTCGTTATTATTACTCCAGCTGCAGTTCAAGTAATTTAAACTTTTAAGTGTTCGTAAAATTTATGGATTTTATAAGAATTTTGAAGAAGCGTGAGCTTTCAACATTTATTTAAAGTGTTGCGCACCATCTAATATATAAAACACTCAAACCTCAAGCTTACACTTTTTGCTGGAGCAACACAAATCGCTTTTTGAACTTTTGCTTGCGCTAGAGTGCCAGAGAACAGAGAAGCGTGGTTAGCAAATGTGCTTTGAACTGAAGTAAAGAAAAATGTTTCTACCACCACGCCTACAAAGCTTTCATACACTTATTCTGCGCGCTCCTAAGCTTTTGTATGAGCTTTCATATTTTCTAACAACTTCTGCGCCACAATGAATCTCTAAACTTCTGTGCACATTCTTCGGCGCTGCCTACTTCCCCGTATACGCATTTTCCAATATTCCCTCTCCGCGCGCGCTCGTAAAATTTGTCTACTACAAGTTTAACTGTATTTAACTAATAAAAAATTTTCTATTTCTTCACGTTCATTGCATTGGTCTCTATTTCACTAAGCGTTATGTTAATTATCTCTTTGTTATTGTTGTTGTTTATCTAGCGGTTTGTGTATGTAATTTGTACGAGTGCTCTTGGGAAAAACTAACCCCGCCCCATCTAATGTCAGCTTGGCCCGATTTCTCACGACTCCAATTTTCGGCAGCTTTTAAAGCTCCGAAGCATTTAAAAAATTTGACTAAACCCAATACTTTGCGTCAATTTCCTTACACACAATCTCCCTTCGCTTCGTACGTGCATGCGAGACATGCCTTACCGAGTGGACATTGCTGTGGGAAGCAACAAACTGGGATTATTATGTGCTAACTTTGGTTTTCATTTGGCTTTCGGGAAATGCGGACCACAAGCGAAAGAGCAGCGGTTGCTCTTCGGTCGTCGTGCCGCGATTGAGACGCCAATTGGCAGGCAACCACCAGTAGGCCGACTGCTCCATGGGTTCGTGCTCTTCCGGCACAATGACAAAGTCATCTGTTGTTTTTGTTACTGTAGCTGCTGTATCCGTATCTTCTACTGTGTTTGTTGTGGTTGCTGCTGTTGCTGCCGCTACGCTATTATCACTAAAGTGATCGATTCGGATAATTTTGCTATTCCGACGACTGGGCGCAACGAAATCGCTCTTTTGGTTATTAATTATATTGTTGTTATTGTTGTTTTTCTCCATACTGCTACTTTTTTCACTTAAACTATTTTTACTTTTACTACTACTACTGATACTGCTACTGTTACTACTAATACTACCAATTGGTGTGTGCTCCGCGACCTCTGTTGTTGTTGTTGTTGGCGTGGTTATTGCCGGTGCATTTGCGTCTGCAACGACGGCGCTGGCACCAAATCCAAAGATGGGCATAATCCGCGACCAAAGCGTTGTAGCGGCCATAAATTCTGTGTCTGTCGCCGTGGCCTCGGCCTCATAGTCGGGTTCTGCGCTCATATGTGCCTCAAATCCGGTGCGCTTCTTGCTTGACGACTCGCTAAGTTGCGCTTTTTCTGTTGTGGCAGACTCGGCGCTTTGATTTGCACTTTCCATTTTAGTCAACGAGAGTGATTGTGCGGTTGCTGTTGTTATTGTTGTTGTTTCAACGATTTCGCTACTGCTCTCCGCAGGCAACGAAGACTCGTTCATTGCGGACGCATCAGCCACTTGTGTAGCTGTTTCTCCTGTTGCTGTTGTAGTCGGCGCGTCAACCTCTTCTCCCAGCTCAGCTGCTTCCGCACCGCCCGCGCTGGCCTGCTGTTCGTTATCTGCCGCGCTTGCGGCTTTCTGCACCTCTTCATCAGGCGCGTTTGCGGTTGGCGGCGTTAAAATGGTTGTACTTTGTGTGGTTGTTGCCGTTGTTGTTGTCGCTGCAATTGTTGTTGGCTTTGTAGCTGCCATTTTTGTCGCGCTCGCTTGTCGATTGCCCTTCACCAATTCATTAATCATTCGCAATTCTTGCGCGATATTTACGTCGCGCGTCACTGACGCGGCCTCCGCATCCCGATTGTGATTGTGCGCCGCGGCATTTTTATACTTATTGCTGTCATTATCGGTGTCGCTGTTGATGCTGGCGGCGACAACATTCACTAAGTCGTCGTTGTCGGTGTTGTTGCCACTCCTCGGCACATCATTCACGAGCGCGCTGTCGGCGCTGACACGCGTTGTCGCCTCTTCACCCGCTGCAAGTATCTTCGCGGTCTGCGGTACGACTGTGGTGACAAGACTGGGGATTTGTTTATTTGCGGCGCTGCTACGCGCAGGTAACTGGATGGGAGTGACGGCTGCGTTGACGACGGTAGGGGTGTGGCGAAACCGGTATGTACTAGCTGAGATTGCTTGCGGCGTCGTTGTTGCGGCTGACACTGCGTCTACACTAGGTAACGGTTGTACGGTCGTATATGCTGTGACTACGCTCTCTTCGGACGCATTTTGTTCTGTTGTTGTTTCGTTAATTATTGTCTCAGTTTCCGTTGTTGTCTTGTCGCTTGCAACTGTTGTCTCATCATCGTCGACTGTGTCCGTCACCAGCGTGGTTGACGGCACATCTTCAACAGCCGTGGCTTTCGATTTTTCAAGCTCCAATTGTTGTTGCTGCGCAATGGTCTGCAAAAGCGAGAGGTTGCTCTCCGCGGCCACGGCGTCAGCACCTTGCGCCTCTATCACGGTAGTTTCGTCGATTTGAAAGTTCGTAGTGCCCTCAGGCTCGGTTGTGGTTATGAAACTCGTTTCCTGCGCGTCGGTATCGTTTGCTGCCGTCGACGCCTTTTGCGCCGTCACGCTGCGTGGGTGCTCATCTTTGGCGCTCATTGACGACGTTTTTGTTGCATGACCGGCATCATGTGTATATAGAGTACGTGCCGTGGTTGTCGTTGTTGTTGTGGTTGTTGTTGTAATGTAAGGCGCTACACTGCTCAAGGGCAAGAGCGCATCGGCGCGTAAAAATTGCGCTATGCTATTCTCTTGTTGTTGTGCCGCTGCCACCAAATCGCCTGCCACCGCGTCCTCTTCCGCGCCGCCTGCGCGGTCAACACTGGCTGGCTGCGCAATTACCGTTGTAACCAGGTGTACACTGCTGTCATCCTTGAACAGTGATATGCGCTGCGGTTCAAGGTCGCCACCAGCATAACCACCAACCGTTTTCGCTGTGGTGCCTGCGCCCACGGCCGGCAATATAATCGCATCGATATCGCCGTCTGCGAATGCCGGCACATTGCCGTCGTCCGCCGCAGACAAATCAGCCATCACTTGACTGCCATTCACAGCGCGCGTATTGTGGTCCGTGATGTTGGCATTACTGTCGGTCTTCGCGGCTATTGTTGCATTGCTTTCGCTCTGCGCTGTTGCAACATTGCGTTGAAAAAATCCTTGCACCGCATCCAAAAACTGTGTTGAGTTGAAAAGTGTTGCGCCAGCATCATTGTCATTGCCGACCACGTCAGCGCGCTCACCTTTCGCACCATTCGTGGCTAGCAATTCAGTCAATGGTCGCGCAGCGCCGCTACCCTCCATTGCGCCACTGCTCATATCCGCTTCATAATCGTTGGTTGGAAATTTTTGCTGAAACAGATTGAATTTCAATGGCTCATCACGCGCCGGCGGTTGCTGTGCGTTGCTAGCGCCCACAGTAAGGCCACCGTTGAAGGGCTGTGGCGGCGCTTCGTACATCATCACCGGTTCGCCTTCACCCAAACCCAAATCGTACTCCTCGTCACCGTAATCGATTTCGTATGCTGTGTCGGCGCCCGCATTGCTGCCGCCGAACAAGCCTAACACCTGCTGTGTGAGCAAGTCGCTCTGATTGATGTTTACGGTTGGTATGCAGCGTGACTGGAAGAGCTGATGGCCGGGCGGACAATCGCGAAACGGCAGCGAAAATATCGATTTCGGTGTGACTTTACGCGATTTCTCCAACTGCTTCTGTTCGGCTGGCAACATGAGCCACTCCTGCCAAGCCAGATTTTCAGCGGTGCCCTCGATGGGCTTCGAGGTAATCGGCAACGCCTCGACGGCGCCTGCCCACCGCTGCGTCGACAAGCGCAACGGTTGCAAGGGCGGTGGCAAGGCGCACACCAGCATCAACACCTGCAAAGCGGCCATGCTACAATGACGCAATGTTGTTGCAGCGCGTCTTGCTCTCGTCGTCGCCGTCGCTGCCATCATCATCGTAGCGTCCAGCGTGTTTGCTGTCATGTGTTTTTGCATCTGACCAGCTTTAGTTGTCGTTGTTGTTATGGTCGTTGAATTTGCTGTTTTCGTGTGATATTGCATTGCTCTTGACTTAGATCCGTTACATGTAGGTGTTGTTGTTATTACTCTGCTTGCTGCTGCTTGTGCTGCTTGTATTCTGGTAATCATGGCATGTGTGGATTAGCTGCGGTGTCGCTATAACTGCGCGCCGTTGTTTTTGCAGCTCATTTAAATATCTCATATATTGCGGCAGCGTCGCTTAACTCGTTGTAACCGCTTATATGTTGTTGTTGGTCTCGTTAAAGTTGTTTCTTGAAAGTTGCCTGATCTGCAATTGTAAAAGACAAAATTGGTAGCAGTTAGTATGGCATTATTTATAGCAGTCATTTGCTTTATTGCAATTTAATTTAGTCGTTGGAGACTTTAATTTGACAGTGGCTTATAGGTGGAGCTTACATTCTTGTATAAGCGTTGCTTATATGGCATTAGCAGGTATTCTAAGTCATTGTTTTTTTTTTATAGATGCTAACAGTTGCACTAAATTATATAAATGAATGCATGATGCTTGGGCTAATGAAGGCAAATGCCCTTCTATTGCGCTAAGTTGTTCAATACTTTCGCTTTTCCCTGGAATGCAACCATTTTTTAATTATTTTTTGAACAGAAATAGTTCCATATATATCTCAAAATTAAAATCTGATAGTTCTGTCAAGGTTTTGCTGCAAATAATTACACACTTTTAGCAGATATTAGATACATAATAGAGAGTAAATATAATACATTATAAATGACAAAATTAATATTAGTATGTTTTCATTAAACATACATATCAATCGCATGAGTAGCTTTAAATAACCCTTCCTTAGTCAGCGAAACTAGAAATAGCCTTTTAGTGGCGTCAATTAACAAGTTTACTATAAAAATTAATACAAATTGACTCAATTATGCTGCTGTTTCGCAAAGAAAAAGCACGCATTCAGTTTATCATGAGAATCTTCGTGAAAAGTTTTGAAACAGCACCTTAATTGAGTCAATTAACAAGTTGTCTATAATAAATAATACTAATTGACCCAATAAAGCTGCTTTTTAAACCATTTTCCCGGAACAAAGGCTACACTTAGATTATCTCAAATCCTTGCCGAAAATATTTGAAACAGCACCTTAATTGAGTCAATTAACAATTTATCTACAAAAAAATAATATCAATTGACTTAATTAAGCTGTTGTTTCAAGTATTTTTGCGAAGAATCCCATGATAACTTATAGGCAGCTTTTAAAATTCTGAATAGATTTGCGAAAAATAGGTAAACTCTCTGCTTACAATATCCGCAATGGCACTTATCAACATCAATTAATGCCTTAATGTGCTCAAGTATCTGGCGATCCAACAATTACAATGAATTGCTGTGTGGAGTATTTTTTTTTTTTTTTTTTTTTTTTTTT